GTAAGCAATTATGTGTAGCATGGGATAGACAGAATCACAAACATAGAGTACATTAGTAATGTATTACAGTTCGGAAACTTATTTTTGCTTAATAACTAAACTTTTCAGTCACCTACAAAAATTACCTCAATTCCCAGATTGCAAACTGATTCCTTTTGGGTCAAAGGGGAACAGCCCCCCCTCCCTGAAATTATAAACTAAATAAACACCAAAAAATCAGATTACTGGACTGGCATAATTTGTCCATCTAGATTTGGGGGGGGGGGGAGAAATCTCAGCCCAGATAGTGGAATGCCCATCAACTTTCCCACTATCACAAGTGTAGAAAGGGTTTCCTAAACCCACTTTTTTTTTTTAATTGAAAGATATACAATTTTCTGTCCATCAAAAATTTAAAACTGCTTCTGGTGGTGTCTGTGTCATGTTCTCTGTTTAGAGACGATAACAAATGCTCAACTTTGTCTCTTGGACCATTTTGTCTCATTCACACAGAGAAGACAATGAAGAGACTTCTTTGACAGTCCTTATTAATATATAAAAACGATATATCAGTGCTTTGAACTACTCTGGCATGCTGTAATTCTATGGTTAGCAAAAGATTCAGAATCAGATGTGTAGTATCCATTTCCATTATATGTGCTATTTAAACCAGAGGGGGAAAAGCCCACATGAGTAGTGCAGAAGTTCTGTCTGTTTTAAAAGGGATATTGTTACTAGGGAAACCACTTCCTTGATAATCCCTGTGTGCAGTTTATCTCTCTCTCTTTCCATTACCATTGGCTCTTAGAAAGACAACACCACAGCATGGCATAAGGACAGAGAAAAAGATGAAATGGGTATAGTTGGCATTCGAATATAAAGGCTTCTTCAAATTCCATAACAAGAAGCACATATAATAACTTAATTTGGTCTATTTTTTATATCTGAGAGCAGAAAAGAGAGGGTTTATGGCTCTCCCTAGCCTGCATCTGCAGAGGCAACAGAATTGTCAAAAATCAGTTTTTAAATAACTACGATCTGCATTTGTATAGCATTCTTCGAATCATGTTTCAGGTCATTGTATGCATATGTATGATTGGAAACTGGCCTCTATGTCTACACTGAGGGCTAAAGTCGAATTAAGATACAAAACTTCAACTATGTTAATTGTGAAGCTGAAGTTGAAGAAACGTAACTCGCCTTTTGGCGCAGTCTACATGGCAGGAGGTCAAAGGAAGAACAATCTTTGAAATTTATTTCAAAACAACAGGCTTGCTGCATAGACATGCACTACATGAGTTATTTCGAAATAAGCAAGTGATATAGACATGGCCTTTCAGAACCCTGTTTCCAAACACCATGGCTGTGTCTACACTGGGCCACTTATTCCGGAAAATCAGCCACTTTTCCGGAGTAAGCTGCAAGCTGTCTACACTGGCCCTTGAATTTCCAGAAAAGCAACGATGCTCTACTGTACAAAATCAGCTGCTATTCCGGAAAAACTATTCTGCTCCCGCTCGGGCATAAGTCCTTATTCCGGAACACTGTTCCAGAAAAGGGCCAGTGTAGACAGCTCCGTAGTCTTTTCCGGAAAAAAGCCCCGATCGCGAAAATGATGCTCGGGGCTCTTTTCCGGAAAAGCGCATCTACATTGGCCACAGACGCTTTTCTGGAAAAGGGCTTTTCCGGAAAAGCAGCCTGCCAATGTAGACGCTCCTTTTCCGGAAAAACTGAAAACAGAATAGTATTCCGTTTTAAGCAGTTCCGGAAATTCATGCCAGTGTAGACGTAGCCCATGTATTTGGGGAAGTTTGTATCCAAATATGATCTTTGAAAAAAAATACTTTTTTTCTCTAATAATCTGAACCAGAAACCCAGATCTTTACACTGCACTTTTTGGGAAATCTGGGCATGAACTTTGTGCTTCAGGCCCACTTAGAGCTATATCCATCTGTGTTATCTAAGTGTGTATAAGGTGCCAATCGTTATGATCCTTTGTGACAATCATAGCCTATAGGCAAGGAGTTATAGGAGCCCAAGGTGCTGAGGCACCATGAATATTCAGGGACAGGGGCTCCTCTCCAGCAATATTAACTGCAGCACAGCCTGAAACTATGTATCCACTTGCTGGAGGATGGATGTTCGGGCAATCGGTCCCTCAGGGTTTGATTTAGTGGGTCTAGTAAAGACATGGGATGTAAGCAACTAGTTGTCCCTCCCCCGCCCCCAGCTGCCTCTGTATCTGAAGCAGCAAAGGAGGGGAGCAGGAGCTGATGCTGTGGGGGTGCCAGCTTAAAAGATGGTTTCTCCCAGCACCGGCTCCATGGGGGGCATGGTGGCAGGGGAGACAGAGGTGCAACAAGAAATGGCATGACTCGCACCAATCCAACTGCTGTGCCTTCTTCCCAACCCCATTCTTCCCCTCAGAATAGTCTTAGTCCTTAGCCAGTTCCAAGTCAAACCCTGCTGTCATCTGCCACAGGAAGGTATAGTTGAAGCTTTGCCTTTACTGAGTCATCCAATTATATACAGAAGTTCTGTGCAGGTAGAAATGTTTGTGCCAACAGGAGCATATCCATCTCCTATCACAGACTGCTTTCTGCTTCTCAGGTCCAAGTCCATGAGCAGTTCCTTGGTTCCAAAAGCAGAGGACCAGTTAGCCTAAATATGTGGCCATTGTTTCTATCTCAAGGTAACTTTTCAAGGAAATATCTTAGCAAATCTCTTCTTCTGTCAGACAGTGAAATAACTCAGGTAGCCCATTTTTAAAGCCTAACCAATTGGCTACTTCACCAGTTTGCTCTGCTATGACAGTACTCACATAACTCTGGATAAATATTCCAGCAAATGTGATGCTTAATGGCAAAATACAACTTTTTCATATTCTGCAAATTTTTACACTTGATTGCTTAGAGCAATTGATTAATAGCTTTTACAGGTAGCTATGAACATGAGATTATAATACTGTTACAATTAACATTGCATTTCTAATTCTCCTTCCTCTGGACAATTGAACCAACAAGCCATTCAGCAGTTCATAATTAAGATGTTGTACTTTTCACTGTTAGATTATAGTTTCAAGTTTAATTTTCAGTTGTTGTGTCTTTTTATTCAAATAAGATGTACTTTTAAATGTATTTTGAAAATGCATTAATGCAATTTTCTGATTGATAGAATTATTAAACAAATTGTAGTACTTTTGTGTGTCTTTGTGTTGTTGTTGCTGAGTTTGTAAGTATTTAATTTACCCCCACTGTTGTTAAGTTGTTTAAAAGAGCCAGGTTAGAAAAAATATTGCTCTGTGGTAACTTTTACCCTTGCTATTGTCAGTGTTAAAGAAACAGTTTTTTTAAGTGTGTATATATTTGACTTAGCTGTAACTTAGGTAGGGTTTAAAAGTTGTTGTATGGTAAATATTAGGTAGTTGTTCATTATATTAGGTAAATGTTAAGTAAATATTAGGAAGTTGTTCAGCTTAATAAATCACTCCTTCTTTAGTAAAACTTGTTGTCTTGCCATCATTCTGTATTTTCACTGGGTATTTGGCCTTAAGCCTCTGGGACTCCTGCCATTTTATCGAACCAAGAACCAACAATAATCATGCCAGTTTCATATATTTTGGTAACTTATTTCAAAATACCTGTCAGCAAGTATGTCTATAAAACGGGGGTGGACAATAAAAAAACAGCAGGCTGCGGGGTTAGTCCCTAGCGGGTCACCGCCTCCATGTTTACCTATGCTTCCGCAGGTATCAGAGGATCATAGCGCTGGTTGGCTGTGAATCGCTGTTTGCAGCCAATGTGATCCTACGATACCTGCAGTGGCACAGGTAAACATGGAGGTGAGGGATTAAACGCCAGAAACTACCCCTACAGACTGGATCCGAACCACAGGCTGGAATTTGCCCACCCTGCAATAACTATACAGATATACACATACAAACTCCCTTAAGAGTAGATAGTTAAAGAAACCCCTATGACAACCCAGTTCCTGTTTCTCTTCCCTCTTCCCCCTATAGTTCAGCTTGTGATGAGAGATTTTGGCTCAATTGCCCAGAATGTCTTACAACACTTTAAATAGAAATCTGCAGGAACAACCTCACAAAGAGTTGAAATTCACCAGAATTATTATTGGCTTAATTGAACATGAGTGGTGATAATAACAGGACCCTTTGCAATACTTAGGACAGTAATCAGTTTTAGGAATAAATCTTTAATTAAATACAAATGGAGAATAGCTTAAATTAGAAAATGGTGGCTATAGCTAGGTTATGTAATGGAGTGGGGAATCCATAGGAATACATAGGAGCATGGGTCAGCAATGAGTCCATACACAAATATTAGGGATTGAAATTAAGTCTGTGGTAATTTTTCATAAAAATTCATATTCCAAGCTCTGTTGAAAAAAGTACATGATTTATCTATGTACATCTTACATGTACTACTATAGTCTATGTGCAAATGGGCCGAGCCTTCAAATTCATCTAGGAGGCCAAAGTCACTGACCTACTTTCTTACCCGGGATGTCAAAGATGCACAGAATGACCTTTAAAAGAGGGGTAGCCACGTTAGTCTGAATCTGCAAAAGCAGCGAGGAGTCCTGTGGCACGTTATAGACTAACCGAAGTGTAGGAGCATAAGCTTTCGTGGGCAAAGACCCACTTAGTCAGATGCATGTCGTGGAAATTTCCAGAGGCAGGTATAAATAAGCAGGCCAGAATCAGGCTGGAGATGAGGAGGTGGATCCAATCAAGGAGGATGAGGCCCACTTCTAGTAGCTGATCTGGAGGTGTAAATTCTTGGAATTCACTAGAAGTGGGCCTCATCCTCCTTGATTGGATCCACCTCCTCATCTCCAGCCTGATTCTGGCCTGCATATTTATACCTGCCTCTGGAAATTTCCACGACATGCATCTGACTAAGTGGGTCTTTGCCCACGAAAGCTTATGCTCCTACACTTCGGTTAGTCTATAAGGTGCCACAGGACTCCTCACTGCTTTTGCAGAATGACCTTTGCCTTGCTTACAGGTTAGCCAGTTACAGTGGAGGGGGCCTTTGTTTCAAAGAAATTGCTGAAAAATACCCCAAATCTGCTCCTTTTTAAAGACCGCACGTGGTACCAGGACTGCAACAAGAAACGCCAAGGACTGAGGTGCTAACTTGTGGCCAGAGTCAGTATTGACCATTGCTTTGTCTCCAGCTCTGAGCGCAAGTCCGGAGTTTTAACGTGCTCGACCTGTACCCAGCCTGCAGCGCTAGAGACTATAACTCCCAGCATGCACTGCTCGCTTACTACCCGCTTGCAGACGCCACTTGCCTCTGGGTAGAGCGCGGAACGCCGGTTAAGTCTGTCGCTGCCCATCCTGGGAATTGTAGTTTACTCGGGGCTGCACTACGGAGCTTGGTTGGGAGAAGCCGAGCCGCGCTGCACGCTGGGATCCGTAGTACACATGGGGCCCCGAGGCATGCTGGGATATGTCGGAGCTAGTTTACGCAGTGGGGTGTGAGGCTGGGCTTGAAAGCGCTCTAGTGCGTTGGTGGCTGTGTGCGCTCGCGCGATCCAGGTGCCCGTTGAGGAGCGGTCGGTTGGCCGGGATGTACCACAGCAGCACGCAGAGGCGGCACTGGACCTTCCGCAGCGAGGAGGAGCTGGTCCGCTGCCGGGCCGACGCCAACCGCAAGTTCCGCTGCAAAGCGGTGGCCAACGGAAAGGTACCGATCGGCCCCGCTCGGACAGAGCCCAGGCTCGGGACTGGGGCGGCGGCGGCGGCGTGTGAAGGAAGGGTCAGTCCCGGGGACCTCCTAGCTGGAGCCGGGCGCGGGGGATCCCCGCGGCGGCAGCTGTCAGCGTGTCACGGGTACTCGGCGCGGCTGCCGCTGGCTGCGAAGGGAGGGGCAGCGGCAGCAGAGCTGCGCCGGGCAGCGGGTAGGGGCGAGTCCCGGCGTTTCGGCGGGGCCCGAAGCAGGCGCCGAGCCCGCCCGGGTGACGTTGCCCGTGTCCTCAGGTTCGGCAGAACGACTCGCTGCTGCTGGAGACCCGGGAGGAGCTGACAATCTGCAAATACTATGAGAAGAAACTGCTGGATTTCTGCTCCGTGTTCAAACCTGCCATGCCCAGATCCGTGGTGGTGAGTTGTGTACCGAAAGGACGCGGCCTTTCCTTTGCAGACTGCCCCTGGCCTGAGACTCCCAGACGTCTAGCACCCTCAGTAGCTTCTCGCAAGCCATGACTCTGGGGGCACTCGTCGCATCTTCTGACGCGTTGGGTTTGTGGGGAATGAAAGGACTTGAGCCTTGCTGTCACCAAAAGAGCTCGGGGGAGAGGGACTTGATATTTCCATCATTGGCTTTTTTTAGGTTTGTGCCTTTGTTTTAACTGTGGGTGGTTTCTTGTTGAGATTATTGGGTACTGCTACCAGAAACACTAGTCCAGAATCAATGCAAGTGTGTGTGTTTTCTGATTAATGGGAGTTGGATCAGGCCAGTAGAGTTTGTGGCAAGTCTTTCAAATACTCTTGCTCAGGCTGACTCCCTTCCAGAGCAAAAGTGTAGAGGAGGAAAATTTACAACTGACTGAATCAGTTTTAGTGACTCTTGCTCTTGTGCTGTGTGTTCCTATAATCTGTGCATTTGCATGGCTGCTCAAGATCGATTCAGATGCTGTCTGGCTGTTCATCAGAGTGCCCACAGCTAGGTTTTTGTTTTTGTTTATATTGGTGGTGTACATTTTCACATGCAGTAGAAAGATTTATTCAACACATGGATGGAAAAGATTAGAGGGATCCTTGCTCTTATGTGCCAGATTATTGCATGTAAAATTGACAAAGTAAATTGATGAAAGAAATTCAGATTTAAGTTTTTTTTCTTTTGGATTCTGTGCTTGACAGACTTTATTATATTGCATTCTGTGCTACGTGTGATGAAGGTTAACCCTGTTGGTTTTGTTCTAGAAACTTACATATGTTGTGTTTTTAAAACAAAAACAAAAAAACAAACAAACTTCTCTCCAAGATAGGGATGTAATAGTATAGCTGATTAACCGATAAGCAAAAGCTTATAGGTTAACGTTATAGACTACATGCATTTCCCTCTCCCTGCCAGTAAATTTTTTAGCAGGTTGGCTAGCAGCCTGTCTCACAGTTCTGGCTTGTGATAGGTCCAAGACCTACCCCTACTGCAGCTCTGCATTTAAAATGTATTAGGAGCTGGATGGTCAGGCAGCCCAGCTCAGTCCTGGCTCACACCGGGTCAAGGAGCTCAGACACTTTCCCCCCTGCTTCCCCTCCCCGAGACAGGGACTGCTGCCACCCTGTAGTGCTGCTTCTTCCTCAAAAGCAGCAGCGCAAGGTGACAGGCAAGCCAGGTAGCAAGGGCAGCTGGTTTTTAAACTAGCTCCCCTCGCAGACCAGCTTCCACCTCTCACCCCGTGCTGCTGCCTCTAATACAGTGGCTGGCGGGCCCGCGCCCCCCCCCCCCCCCCGGGACTATAGACTAGTCGACTAACCGATAAAATGTCATGAGGTTACTCGACTGTTCAATTAACTGATATTTAACATCCTTAATCCAAGGCGTTACTTCTCAAACTATAGTCTGAAGTTTTTCATGTTTCAAAATATTTCATCTACAAATCTAACCAATGGAGAGGGGATTTGAGGTGTTAAGGAAAAAGAGCTCATGGAAAAAATTTTAGGTTTAAAATGGATTCAGTGGTACAAAAGGTACTTTTTCATTTAGAATTAGTGACCTGTTTTCTAGAATAGGTGGGTGGACAACAGTCAAACTTGGAGAAATCTGAATTTCTTACAAATTAACATTTTAGCTAAACATCCAACAAACTCAATAGAAATAGAAACATGACAGAGTAACTGGGGGTGGTTACTGGACTGCATGTCAGTGTGTCTTTTCAAGATGCTGATGTGTAATGGATAGAGGGGAATGATGGCACAATGGTTAAGGCCCCCTTCAGTCTAGAGTTGGGTGTGTATGCTTCTTTGAGTTTGGGTTTAGCTCCTGCCCTTTGTGTCAGTATTTCTGCTGAGTAGCTTAAGTGGCTCACCACTCAGCTTGACTTACAAGGATCCCTTTAAGTGCTTAACTCTTTTGCATTCTATGGGAAGCTAAAGTGCCTTATTCAGGGCTGAGGGGTCTACTGTCCAGCAGATAACTTAAGAGTTAAATATTGCAGTAACCTCAGGATCTAGCCCTCCGTTTCTCTGCACCTCACTTCCCTGTGTGTACTTATACACCCTACTTATTTTTGTGTGGGCAGAGTGCAAGGTATAACAATACTTAATTATCTTGCAGGGTTATTGAGGATAAAATATGCTGAAGGTGGCTAGGTGCTGATTTTATGGTGGGGGCCAATAAATACCTTAGACAGACCTGTTCTTAGAGAAGGTTGAAATCTGACTAGTGGATTAAAAAGTGTATATTCTCTGCATTGAACATTATCTATTTGCTGTTTGTGCTATTATGCCCAATTGGAACTTACTGACTCCTTGTATTTAGGGAACGGCTACTATGTATTTCAAACGTTTTTACCTGAATAACTCAGTGATGGAGTATCACCCTCGAATAATAATGTGAGTAATTGAGACAGTTTGAATTTTTTGTAATGTTTGTCAATATTGTCATTAGAGACGTATTAGTACAGGGATGGCCAACCCGTGGCTCGTGAGCTGCATGCGGCTCGTGAACTGCATACAGCTCTTCAAATTAAAAATTGTGGTTCGCGGCTCTGAAAGGGGCAGTGTGTTTCTGTCTGAAAGAGACAGAGCTGGAGTCATGCGTCCCATGCAAACTTCAAAATGGCCACCTTAAAAGAGCAATGACTGCTCTCCTCTTAAAAGGGCGTTGGTGTGGGGCTTTTTTTTTTTTTCTTTCTCTCCTCAATAACGTTTTTATAACAACTCTGCTCTTTGCGCTGTATCCACTACTATTTTGGCTTTTTGTCTGTAATGGGTTGGCCACCCCTGTGTTAGTATAACCATTTTAAAAATAAAAACCTGATGGGCCTGGGCCCATTGGTTAACCTTCACAGTTAAATGAAAGGCCCCACCCTGCACTGCTGCCACTGTATCAGAGGTAGCACTGTGGAGTGAGAGATGGGAGGCAGCACCTGATACAGAGGCAGCAGCATAAATGGCAAGCAGCAGCTGGTGTGAGGGGCTGGAGGGGGACGTGGCTCTGAAGGAGCCGGTGTTCACAGGAGTTGGCTTAAAATTTGGTTCTCCACGCCTACTGGCTTCCGCGGAGATGCCCCCACATGGAAATGTGTAACCCTAAGGATGTTAAGTATCAGGTAATTGACTATTCGAATAGTTGATGCATTTTGCATCAATTGTTTGATTAGTTGTTAGGACGCCTCTGCCTTTGAAGTACAGCAACAGCACTAGGGTTGTTGCTACATTTCAAAGGCGAAAGTGCTGTGTGGAGCCCAGGGTCAGCTCGGGACTTTGAAATGCTGTAGTGGCGTTTCAAAGTGGCAGTGTCACATGGAGCCTGTGGGGTCAGCAGCGGGGTGGGGTGGGGGGACCGGGAGTCCCTAGCTGATGCCAGGCTCCACGTGGTGCTGCTGTTTTAAAATGCCGCATGCAGCCTAGGGACACCCAAGCTAGCCCCTGGCTACACGTGGCTTTTCAAAGCAGCAGTGCTGTGTGGAGCCCAGGGTCTGGCCCCAGGCTTCAAGTGATACTGCTGCTTTGAAGTAGCCCCTCTTCTTCCCCACCCTTGCTGCCTCTATCTGATGGAGGCAGCACTTGGGGGGAAGTGACTAGTCAACTACCCAATAAGCATTTGCTTATCGATAGTTGACCAGTCTATCACTTCCCTAGTAACCACTGAAAAAATGTTCCTCCCCCCACTTTTTAACATCCCTAATTGTCATATTAGGTAACTAATAAAAGTTTGAGGATACTAAAATTCAGTATTCTTACCATTTTATATAAAGCAAGAAGCTGAATAATGAATTTTCATAGTGATCCATTTGGAAATAGGTCAGGGAGGATGGGCAATAATTTTTACAGTGGGGACATTTCACAAATTTCTGAAGTGGCCCTGCGCTGCTGCAGAAGGGGTGGGGCCAGGACACTTTCTGTACTCCCTCACCCACAGACCGTGATTGTCCTGAGGGTGGGAGAACACGTGAAGTCTTTGCCTCCCCACCTGCCAGTGCCTAGAGAGAACCACCAGCAGTTTTAAACAGCTGGTATTTCCCTCTGGTGCCTGCACCCCTAGTGGGGGGTGGGAGGAGATTTTCATGCTCCCTCTGCCCCCAGGCCAGTCAGGCCTGAGGGGGTGGGAGTACATGAAGTCTCTCACCCCCTGCCCATGCCCTACAAGGGGTGAGCGGTGCCTAGCGTGAACTGGCAGCTGTTCTGAACAGCTGACTGCATGATGCATGCCACAGAACTAAATTCTGTTTGTCTTCTTTTTTAAGGTTAACGTGTGCATTCTTGGCATGTAAAGTAGATGAATTTAATGTGTCCAGTGCACAGTTTGTTGGTAATCTTCGAGAAAACCCTCCAGGACAGGAGAAGGCTCTTGAACAGATCTTGGAATATGAATTGCTGCTTATTCAGCAGCTGAACTTTCACCTTATAGTGCATAATCCTTTTAGACCATTTGAGGGATTTTTAATTGATTTGAAGGTAATACTTTAAAAACTATTTTTCTCCTTGCTGTGTCACATGTAACTTGGTATCAGGTAAGGTATTAATATTCCTTAAGATAAATGGACTTAAGTTCAAATATGGTACTATAAAATGTTAATATTTCAAAATATTGTGGGTGTTGCCTGGGCACCTATTCTTTAGTGGATCGATTATATGGTTGCTAGTATTTCAGAAAAAAGTCTTGGTCAAGTGTGAGACTCTTGAATTAGAAATACTGTGGTCCTTCATCATTTTTTTTGAATGTTAGAATAAGCTAGAGTGGGGGGCCAGAGGGTGATGATCTGTTAGCCAGAAGTAATCTTCTTGGAATCGTAGAGCTGGAAGAGACCTCAGAAGGTCATCAAGTCCAGCCCCCTGCCCAAGGCAGGACCAATCCCAACTAAATCAACCCAGCCAGAGCTTTGTCAAGACAAGACTTAAAAACTTCTAGGGATGGAGATTCCACCACCTCCTTAGGTAACCTATTCCAGTACTTTACCACCCTCCCAGTGGAATAGTTTTTTCCTAATATCCAACCTAGATCTTCGTGCATGTTTGTGTGCGGTGGGGGGAATCTCATGAGTCATACACTCAAGTTGCATTAATCTTTTTCATTGTCTAATATAACATGTATCCTAGAAAGGCTTAGATTTATACTGTAATACATGGGAACATATCTGAATTAAAACATCTTTACTTCATATGTGATCACTAAACATTTCAGGGTAGCTTTTTGAAAAACAAAATCTAAGGTTATTTTGTGCCCTTTTTGTGTGTCATGTAGTACAGGAGAATAGGAACAATTTTACACTGAAATAATCATAGAATACTAGAACTGGAAGGGACCTTGAGAGATTGAGTCCAGTCCCCTTCCCTTACAGCAGGAGCAAGCAGCATCTAGACCAGTGGTCTCCAACCTTTTAACACCCATGATCACTTTTTAAATGACGGAACAAGCCAAGATCTACTGCCCCGCCCCTTCCTTGAAGCCCCGCCCTCTGTATTCTCCTCCTCTCCATCACTTGCTATCCCCAACCCTTATACTGCTGCTTTTTTCCCCCAATTCTTCTGTAGGAAGAGGTTTTTCCAACATTTGGCCTGTCTAGACTGGACCAAATGTCAGAAAAAAACCCTTCTTTTGGAAGCCCCCTTATTCCTTGTGGAAAGAGGAATATAGGGGTGAC